AAAGAGGAACAAATGTAATAATCTGAACAATAAAGATTTAATTAAAAAAAATAAAAAAAATAAAGAAGAGCCCCCCAAAAAAAGAATGTATGCACCCCTATGTTAATAGCAGCACAAATCATAATTGCTAAGATCTGGAAACTGCCCAAGTGCCCATCAGTAGATGAGTGGATAAAAAAGCTGTGATACATTTACACCGTGGAATACTATGCAGCAGTATAAAAGAATAATCCCTTACCCTTTGTGACAGCATGGAGGGACCTGGAGAGTATCATGCTAAGAAAAAAAAAAAGTTAGTTAGAGAAAGGCAAGTATCACATGCTCTCACTCATATGTGGAATCTAATTAAAAAAATAAACTGATGAACCGAGTGGATCCAGAGACATGGAAGCATGGAACAGAGTGCGGAATCTTGGAGGGAAGGTGGGAAATGGTGGGTGGGAGGTGATCAACCAAAGACCTTGTATGTGTATATGCATAACCCTTGGACATGGACAATTAGGTGGTGAAAGCCTGGGGTAGGGGGTGAGGGTGGGCTGGAAGGAGTTAATGCGGGGGGAAGAGGGACATATGTAATACTTGCAACAATAAAGATTTAAAAAATAAAATAAAAGTATAGTCCTGTGCCTCCCACACACACGCACCTGTAGCTCTTTCACATCTGAATTCCCACACCTCCCCTAATCTAACCAGGTCTCAGTCAAATTCTTCTCCAAAATGTATCTTCAAAACACAAGGACAAGAAAACTGAGTGCCCAAGTTTCTTTTTTTCAACAAATAGTGAGACAGAATGGTGAGTCACCCATAGTAGGCCCCAGGGACAGGACAGTGGGCCAGGTCCAGTCCCTGCTCGGCAGGAGCATTTAGGAAACATCAGCTGCAGTGTTGACAGTGGTGCTGGGAAATGCACCCAGGAGAGTGTGGAGCAAAGGAGTGGGCAGATTTGCTGTCTGTTGGTTTTGCTTCTGTGCCCAAGTTTCAGGGCTGTGCACTGACTTCTGGCCTCTTGGTAGGGACTCTTCCGAGTGGCTCCATCCGCCTCCAAATTGAAGAAGCTGAAAGCTGCCCTGGACTGCTGTGTGGTGGACGTGCAGGAGTACTCAGCAGACCCACACGCGATCGCAGGTGGGTGCTCACAGCCCCTGGGCACGGTGCTCCCTCGTGCTGTAGATGCTCACAGGGAAGGGAGAGCATGGAGGGTGTGTGACCATGTTTCACAGATACCGGAGCCTGTGGCTTCCTGACAAGCTTTAGGTGCGTCCACGAGGACCAGTGTTAAGCCTGGTTGCTATGCCCCTGGAGGGAAGGTCTCCCCTGTGTGCCAGCAGACGATGAGAGAGTGGTGGGAATTAATGGCCAGGAGGCCAATGCCATCGCCAGCCCAGGCCCCGTTGCCTTGCCAGGGCCTTGGGTCCACTCCCACGGGAAGCCACCGTTGGATGCTATCTGGGTCAGGGAGCCCGTCCTAGATGTAACCCCCGTGGGTAATGCCGGCTGGTGGTGCTTGTCTCTGCTATTCCAAGTGGCTCATGGCCAATATTGTATTCATGCCCAGGAGCTTTGAAATCTTACCTCCGAGAGTTGCCAGAACCTCTTATGACCTTTGAACTCTATGACGAGTGGATTCAGGCTTCCAAGTGAGTACACCACATTTTGGAGTGGCTTGTGGGTTGGAGTCTCTCTGGAAGTATTTGTTGAAATTATGAAAGCATGTAACCTATGGTCCAGCAGCTCCTTTCTCAGTATCTATCATGCAGAAACACCTGCCATGCTTGTACAGGTGCCCTTAGAGGCATATGCAGGAACATGGATTGCAGCAATTGCTGAAATAGCAAAAGCCTAAAAGTTACTAAATGTTCATTGGTGGGTGTGGGGAGTGGCTGAATAAACTGTGGTATGTCTACATGGTGACATACACTACAGCAGTCAAAACATAGGTAGAGCTATTCACGCTATCATGAAAAGGCACGAAGATTTGTTATTGAGTGAAATAAAGCAAGTTAACGGGCACCTATGATATTCTGTTGTTGTAAAAAGAAGAAAAGCACTGAAAACAAAACAGTTTTAAGAGTGGCTCTTTGTATGTGTAAATGCATGAAAGAAGGTTCTGGAAGGGCTCACACAGTCAGAGGTAGTGATTCCCTCTGGAGTGGAAGACAAGGGAGTGGTCACAGGGGTCCTTAAGCTGTCTCCAATAGATAAAAATATTTTAATAACAATAAACACTATAAACACATAACATCTGGGCGAGGACACATTCCACCCTCCGGAAGATGAGCCCGAGGGAGGGCCCAGCTGGAGGTGACAGGACAGCACCTGAGGCTTCCAGTCCTGTTGGGAAGAGAGGAAAGAGCAGGCAAAGCCACAGCCAGCTGTCTTCCTCACGTGGTGCATGTGTTAGTATCGGCTATGGGAAGAGCTACCTCAATAAATGCTGTTATTTGGAGGACTGGGTTTTAGTGAGTAAATGGCATGGCTGGTGAGGAACCAGGAGGACTGCCAGCAGAGAGCAGGAGGTAGAGACGTGCAGGAAGAAGAGATGGGGGAGAACATTTTATGAGAGCAGGACTCAGCCCGGTGCCTGGGAAAGGACATGATTTCTGGAGGTCTCTAGCGTGGGAGTTAGTCGTAAGGAGCAGCCAGCATCGTGCCAGAAAGAACACGAGTGTGCACCTGCTCTGTAAGAACTGGGCTGGAGGAGAAGCCCGCGGACCTGGAGCAAAGCCCGGCTGGTGTGTGTCGAGGTAGAGGAAGGTGCTCCAGTCCTGGTGTGTCACTGTTTGTTTCCATGACGTCATGGAGGTCAAGCACTGTACAGGGCTGGCTGAACGTACGGTGTTCTTGTATCTCATTGTGGAGAAGTGCGGGGTTCCGTGAGGGTAGTAATGATCATAGGGGACACTATTTGTTGAGTGATTTTTAGAGACTTGGCCTTGTTCTAAGCTCATTATATGTTTTTAATTCATCTAATTCCACATTATGAAGTGGGTTGTACTGTTTCTCCCATTTTCCAGATGAGGAAGTTGAGTCACGGGGCAGGTATGTAATGGCAGGTTACTTGCTGTCTAATAAATGGCAAAATGAGGATCTGGTTCCAGAACCCAGGTGGTTGGCCATGGCCCCTGAGGCCTCTCTAGAACAGCACTGTGGTCCTGGGATAGAGATCTAGAGTGGCACTATGGTCCTGGGGTGAAGATCTAGAGCAGCACTGTGGTCCTGGGGTGAAGATCTAGAATGGCACTGTGGTCCTGGGGTGAGGATCTAGAGCAGCACTGTGGTCTGGGGTGAGGGTCCAGAATAGCACTGTGGTCCTGGGGTGAAGGAGAGTAAGAACACGTCCTCTGATAGAAACTCCCTTTTACTTGATGTCTGAGGGTCTTGGTGATGCAAAGCTAGAGAAGGGGAGGATGCCTGGGCTTCAGTGTCCAAGAGACACTCCTTCCACCTCATTTGTGAAGGTGGGTCTCATAGGAAATAGGAAGGATCCTGAAGCCACAGAGCTCAGTGTCTGGGAACCAAGGAAAAGCAAGGACTGTGTGTCCTGCCTTAAAGATTGTGACATGCTCACACTCTCCAAAGAAAGTAATTTGTCTGGAACAGCCATTTCCAGCCTTCTGTGTACATTAGTTTCCTGGGAAGCTTTTAAAAGATACCCATGCCTGGACCTTTTTTCCCCAGATTCTGATTTAATAGTTGGGCTCCTTGTTTAAAAACTCCCAGGGCTGTTGGGTTGATAACCATTGACCTCTGATGAAGCTGAGTCTCACGAACGAGCCACACTAACCCTAACTAACAGCAACGCTGCCTGCTCTGTGGGGATGGGGCAGCCAGGAGTTGGAGGTGGAGTCAGGGAAACCGCGGGGACAGCAGTTAGGGATCGCAGGACAGTGCAGGGTGGCCTGTACCTCAGAGGACACAACTTTGCAAGCCACGTAAGTGAAGTGTTTCCACGCTGGAGTCTAGGAAGCAAGGACTGAGGCTGCAGTCATAGGGCTCCTTCCACAGGACGGACATGCCTCGCCTTCGCACTGGCCGCTCCCTCTGATGCAGGTGTCCGGAAACCTTTGCCCCAGGGCCCTGCCTTAAATGTAACCTCAGAAAGGCCTGTCTGACAACCCCAAGGTAAAGCAGCCAGCAGTCGCCATAAGTCCCATCTGTGTTCGTTGTCCCGGGAACTGACCGCCTGGCTCAGGCTGTGTGTGAGTAGCCGGTTACCTTGTAAGCTTTGCGAACAAGGACCTCCTGGCTGACCACTGCCTCCCCGCCCTCAGGACAGAGCCTGACTTGCAGGAAGTGCTCAGTGTGTGTTTGCTAATTTTTACTGAATGAAAGGTCTTCATAGCATCTGCCCTTTGACCTTAGAAAGGACTGAGGAGCAGGACCGAGAATGGGGTTTGGTGCCCCAGGAGGCGCTCAGCTGCTGGAGGCGAGAGCGGAGGCAGCAGCCATGGTGGCTGCAGAGCCTGACATTGACCGAGAGATGAGCACTTTGTACGATTCTCCTTTAAACCACTCACACTTAGGGATTGTCAGGACCGTGCAGGGTGGCCTGTAACTCAAAGGACACGACTTTGCAGCCACGTAAATAAGAGACTAGAAAGTTCTCTTACTAATCCCATTTACAATGGGGGGCGTGAGGTTCACAGAGGAAATCCTTGGCACATGTTCGCGGGGGGCGTGGAACTAGGCTGCCCGACAGCAGACCCTCTCTGGCCAGCCTTTGGTCAAAGGGACATGAGCTGTTACCTTTCCATTTCTTCCTGGGAGGCGTGGCTTTCATGCTGGGTTCCCAGCAGAGGTTCCACTTGGAGAGTGTTTCCCTCTCCCTCTGGCTAACTGGTCGGGATCCATGGGAGGCCTCTGGGCACTCCGCATGTGAGTGACCGCCACCCTCTTTGCCCCCCCGCCCCCTCTCCCCCCAGGCCCTAGTCAAGGGCTCAGAGCCAGGGCCTCACCAGCTGGTGTTTCCTTTGTTTTTCTGATCATAAGGCCTTCCGAACCATGTAGGCCTTGATGTAGATTTTCATGAAAAGTACTTAAAAAGTGTAATCCTATGAGCAATTCTCTTCATTCTCAGAGGGCTTATGAATAAAGAAACCCTTCGAACAAATCTTCCTGTCTAGTGGAGAAACCCTTGTTCATGCGAATTACCCACCTCTGAGTTACGTCTGGATAGATCAGATTCCTTATTTCCATGAGTCATTAAATTCACTTATTCAGAAGGGACTCACTGAATGTCATTAAATAATATTTGCTGAACTGAACAGTAAGCTGCCACCATGGTGTGGACGTGGTTGAACTTCCACCGTGGTCCTGGGGTGAAGGAGAGGGAGAACATGTCCTTGTTACTCACTGCATGTCTATGCCACCTTGGTGATACGAAGCTGGAGAAGGGGAGGACGCCTTTGCTTCAGGATCTGAGAGACAGCCCTCCCCCCTCACTTGTAGAGGTGGGTGTCACAGGAAACAGGAACTAGGAAGGATCCTGAGGCCTCAGAGCTCAGTGTCTCAGAACCAGGAAAAGTAAGGACTTCTTCCTGCCCTGGGAGGGTGTGTGGGTCCTGCTTGGTGCCAAGTGTCCTGGTTTCTGGGCCAGAATCGCCCTCCTGACAACACCAGGCCCTGCCTACTACAGAGCTCAGGTGTCCGGCCTCTGCCCTCCTGCCCCCACTGCTGCCGGGCACTCATTCACCTGGACATGGGATGTGGGGAGAGGGAGTTTTGTTAAGAGCACAGGACAAGACAGAAAGAGAACATAGAGGGGAGGAAATAGTAACCAAACATTTGAGTAGTCATAGCTTGCTGACACTGTCAGGCACGTGGTTGGCTCCTTATTCTCAAATATTACAGTGACTGGTTAATGTGGCTGCCAGGGAGACTGCGGTAAGTCATGCTCAACCAGTGGCTTTTCCTATTAATTCCCCAGCATCCAGGAGCAAGAAAAGAGGCTTCAGGCTCTGTGGAATGCTTGTGAAAAATTGCCCAAGGCCAATCACAGCAACATCCGGTGAGTGGACCCTGGAGACACTGGGTCAGTTATTCAAGGTCCAGACAAGTTTCCCGGTTGGAAGTTGTGGTCACTAACATGCACTGAATTTCATGGTGTCCAAAGCGTTAATATGCATGGTCTCTGCCCAGCCTCCACCAATCCTGTGCAGTTGTTCATTGCCATTTAGCAGATGAGAAAACGGGGCATATGACTTTGGAGGTTGCCTAATTAGCCATTGGCTAATTCAGTTAAGTTCTTTGATTTGCAAGGAGCAAAGATTAATGCAAGTTATTTCAAGGTATTGGGGATTTATTGCAAAGATGGGTGTTCGTGGACACCCGGGAGAAGCTGAGCAAACCTGGGCTGCAGTGGGCAGGTATATGCTGAGCTAGCCTGCAGGAAGGAGAGGCTGGGAGAACGTACTCCAGCGCTCCACCCTTCACCAGCTATTTTAAACACGTCCATCTCTCGCTTTTCTTGCGACCACCCGAGATCTTACTTCCTGCTGCTGTGCAGATCTTTCCCTCCCCGGCTTCTGCTCCTTCACACTTTTGCTTCCTCATCACTTTGTCTTGCCAGCACTGCTCCTGGCCCCACGCCTCTTCTCACGGTTTCTCTAGATACAGATTTTTAGCTTCAGCTCCTGCCACCATCTGCCTGATAATTTCTGTTTCCCTGTAAAAAATCCCAATAGTGAGGTAAGGCAGATCCTCAAAAAATTAAACATAGAATTACCACTTGACCCAGCAATTCCACATCTGGCTATGTAGACAATAGATTAGAAAGCCAAGACTTGCTCTGTACACCCATGTTCAGAGCCACATTATTCACAACAGCTAAGAGGTGGAAACAAGCCACATGCCCCTCAGTGGATAAATGGGCCAACGAAATGCACATGCAATGCAGTGTTCAGCCTTAGAAGGGGAGGAAATTCTGACACAGGCTACCATGTGGATGAACCTTGAGGGCACGGTGCTAAGTGAAAAAAGCCAAACACAAAAGAACAAATACTGCATGAGTCACTCATATGAGGCACCTGGAATAGTCACACTCGCAGAGACAGGAAGTAGGCTGGAGAGTTCCAGTGGCTGTAGGGGAGGAAGATGGGAAGGTGTTGTTTAATGGTGCAGAGTTCAAGTTTAGGGTGTTGGAAAGTTCTGGAGCTGGAGAGTGGTGACAGTTTCCTAAAAGTGTGGAAGTGCTTACGGCCACTGGATTATATACTTAAACGTAGTTAAATGGTGACTCGTATATTTTACCACTATTTAAAAAAAAAAAAAAGGAAGAATCGGATTGGTATAACACATTGAGTATTGCTGACCACAGCCTCTGCCTCCGGCAGCGGTGGGCTGGCTGCTCTCAGCTGGGCTGCGTTCTGGTCCAGGGTGTGGCCTCTGGAGTGAGATATGGTCAGGAGAGGCTGGGACTGGGGCAGCTGAGTCCGCTCTTTCTGCCAGGCTGCCAGGGGCAAAGGGGCCTCAGGAACTGGGAGTACCTGAGAGTCCAGGAGAAAATGTGCCCCAGGGTACTTGGCAGAGCCTGACAGACTTTGGGCATTATTTGCCAGCGCTATTTTTTTGTGCTTCATTTGTAAATAGCTTCCTTACTGGTTCTTTTTTTTTTTAATAGCTTTATTGAGATATAATTCACATATCATTGTACCCCTTTAAAGTATACGATTCTGTGGGGGTTTTGTATAACTATCACCACATCTCATTTTAAACATTTTCATCACCTCAGAAAGAAGCCCTATTCCCATTAGCAGTCACTCCTCGTGTCCCCCAGCCCAGCCCCTGGCAGCCCGACCTGCTTCCCACCCCTGTCTGTGGATCTACCTGTGCTGGATAGACCATGTAAACGGAATCGTGCAACATGTGGTCTTTCCTTTCTCAGCAGGATGTTTTCAGGTTTCATCCATGTGGTAGCATGTGTCAGAGCTTCATTTCTTTTTTACAGATGAACTAGAGGCCCAATGCATGAAATTTGTGCAAGAATAGGCCTTCCTTCCCCCAGCTGCCTGTACCGGCTTCCCTCTGGCACCCGAGACCCGGGCTTTCCTCACAGCCCTGGCTTGTCCAAAAGGTCGTCCAGTCTAATTAGCATATTGTGCTTTTATTATTATAGATAATATTTCATTGTATGGAGAGACCACATTTTATGTACCCAATATCCCACATCTGACTACTGAGTAATGCTGCAAGTCTCTGTAGACCTGCTTCTCTTGGGCATATCCCTAGGAGTGGAATTGCTGGGTCGTATGCTGAGTCTTTAACTTGTTCTTCATTGGCTTTCTCTAGAAAGCCCCACTGAGGGGCTCCAAAGGGACCAGGGGATAGACTCCAGGCCTGTAGATGTCCCTGCTGATGACCCCGGACACTTTGCTTCTCCCCTCTGCACACAGGGAAGATTGCAGGTGACAGAGATTGGAAGTGAAGATGGAACTTTAGGCCATTTTATACTAAGTCCAGAGGAAGGATGGAGGCTTTCTCTGGCCAGAGGTTGACATATAGCAGTGATGTCTGAGCCGCCTGTCTGTTGGAGCATTCCCATGTCCCGGTGCATGATGTGTCTTCATCATATTGAAGAAAGTATGCGTCCCATTGTCAGTAAGCTATGATGCGCGA